TGCCTGAATTCTGGGTCGTTTGCTGGACTCTGGAGTCTCTGGCTCGGGATATTCCCGGGGACGACGGATCTTGAAGCGAATCCTCCGCTTCTTCAGGATTTTAACGGCTTCACTTACGGCCGTGCCCGTCCCCGGTTCGGATTGGCGCTTGTTGGCCGGACGCTCGGACTGCACGGGAAATGCATCTGCCACAGTGACCGATGATGGCAATGCTGACTGAATCAACAACTTTGCTATTTGACGGGCGAACTTCCGTGGATACTGTTCAGTGAAAGTGGACCGATTCATCCTGCCAGTCTCTGTGACCACACTTCCTTGGACTTGCTGATGTGAGTGGTCTCGGTTACAGAACCGATTCGAAAGCATCTGCCACATGCGATCATCTGTGGTCAGGACGTTCATTCGCTTTCGAATTGGCATTCCGGATTCCGGATCACAAAGCTGACCGACACGACACATGTCAAAACGGCAGGACTTCGTGTTCTGGTGCACCGGTTTCATCTCAGGGCAATCAAACATCTTGGATCCCTCTGGTTGCTCCCAATGCAAATGTCCACCCATCTGAACCTGATGTTCTGCCAGCACGATTCCTAGGGCAATTTGCCAGCACGCATCTGCACGATTCTGGCACGCTTGCTCCCAGGCTTCTAGCGACCGGCTGGCATTGAACTGTGACCATTTGCACCAGGCCTTGCACACCGGACTGAACCACACATGCTTCGGCTTCCGTTGCACCAGGTGTTGAAACAATGTGCGACGCCCGGAGGTGGTGCTCAGATCAGCACTCCCTTGATGCATGCGGATTGCCCTGCCTCCCAATTGATTGACCTGGTGAGTGATCTGGCTTTGGTGGCTACAAAACACTTCAAGAACGTCAATCTGGTACTTAATGGGCGATCCCTTAACACTCTGACGGGTTTCCTCTAATTCCTTGTTGAATTGATTTACCCAGGTCCGAATCTTTCCGGCCGGAGTGAGGGACCTGTCGACTGGCATGCTGTGCAAACATTCCCGGGGAACCGTATGAAGCGCATCATGCCACTGTTGATCACTGACTGTTGGCGTATGCTGTCTGAAATTGTCTGGTGGCATGTGGCTTGTTTGCACACTCTCGGATGCGCTCACATGTCCGTCTCGGTGCCCTTCAGCCGGTCCCGCTGATGCAGGTGTTGGATCACCTCCTGCAAGGCCTTCTCGATGTTGCACATCCGGCTCTGCAGTGCCTGCACATCCGAGTCGGTCTGGCTTCCCTGAGACTGGTCCTGTTGCGGGATCTGCCACTGGTCCTCGTCCTCCTCCCACTTGGTGATCTGATCCTTGGGACTCTGTTTCAATGCCACTGCCATTCTCTTCAGCTGACTGGGCTGTTCCTCCATCTCCAACGTCCTCAGATGCACATACTGGATGAACGTCTGGTGCTCGCGCTTGCTGGACCCCTCGTAGTGGCTCACAAACCAACTGGTCCACTTCAGGTCGCTGAATGCCTTGGCAAATGACTGTCCCTTCTTGGCCGCTCCAAATGCGATCTTCTCGTGCTCCAGTTCGTCCCTCGTGAGAGTCTCGACTGGTGGCTGTGTCTCTTCCTGGATCATCTTCTGAAGGTTCTTGAGGCGGTCGGCCAGTGCTAGCGACATTGGTGTCTCTCGGACGTTTCACTTCGTGGTCGGTGACACCCTGCACACTGGCTTGAGCACACTGATCATTCAGATTCGCATTATCACTTGGCAACTCACCTCTACATTTGCTCAAGGGGCTCACGGTCTGGAAAGGCTCAATCTGGATTGCACTCACTCTGACTTTCAGCTCACACGGAGCGGGCGGTGCAGCATCTATTGTGCTATGGCTGATAAGGGCCGTGTCACTCAGGTCATCTGGCAATATGTCATTGAAATCAAGCAGAAACAGATTTCGGCTGGACAAATGCACGGTCACTGTTTTCTGAAGTTTCTGGAATGTGATTTCTTGCCGACCTGTGTCTATGACAGCTCCCAGTGAACACAGCAATGCATTCGAAATGAGAAATGGTGTGCCGCCTTCTACAACTGCAATTTTCACACACAGCCCCTGCTTGTTGATTGGTACCATGAGTGCGGTGTGGCTCGTGAGGGTGCTTTGATTTCCAAAACGAAACACCATGCGGCAAGCACACTTTCGGACACTCTGGCGTACCAACTTCGGCAACCCATCCAAAAACTCTGACACCTGCCGACTTCCCATGACGCTCTGTGAGGCTCCGAGGTCCACAACACCTTTGGTTCCATGTGACGCAAACAACGTTTCCATCACTTCAGTGTTGGAGGCGTGTTGGGAAGTGGCTGGAATCAACGGTGGCTCCTGCTTTTCACTTCTTCGGCGGATCACTTCTCTAAGATTCCTGCGTGCGGGCCAGGAAACTGTGGTGTGACATGCTGTGAAAACCTCATGGACCTCCTTTGAACACAAATCTGACATGGATGAGTCCTGAAAGTTCAGGGCGATCTCTGGAATCTGCATGAGGGCTTCCGACGTGTTGTGCTGGGGTTCACTTCCGGATGCGGCAAATGACACTGGATACTGACCACTGGAGGCTGACTGCTGTCCCTTGTTCGGGCACTCTTGTTTCCAGTGACCACGCTGCCCACACAACCTGCAGTTGGACTCCATGATGCGCTGTGACAAGGTCTTCTTGCCTTGTCCCTTGCCGGAAGTCCATTTGCCTTTGGACTTGCCCTTGCCTTTGCGAGGAGCCCAAAAACCACGGTACTTGGCCTTGTCCCCCAAACGTCTGCGGGCATCCTGATATGTGGAAAACAGTGCGGCGAGCTCGGTATCATTTTGCAAGGTCTCGGTGGCCGCATCCTCAAACTGAGCCACCAGAATTGCATCTTCATCTCCTTCACACCGCAACTGCTCCTGAATGTCTTCCTCTGTGAGACCCTCCATCTGAAAGGCATCTGCATCTTCCCCTTCATCTTCTCCGGCATCTTCTAGATGAAGTGTGGCCTGATCATAGGTCTTGTTGCGACTCTTCTTGATGCCCGTGTAGTCCTGAAAGAAACTTGTGCCCAACATCCGAACTGCCGCATTCACCTTCGGCATGGTAAGGACATTGCCGGCCTCTGCTCCACTCTCCACGAGAACGCGCTTCTTGTCCTCGGGTGCGAGTTGAGAGTTCCTCAAAACAACATAGGCTTGGAGCTCTTTGATGTCGAGCCCTTTCTGTAACATCTCCAACCATGCCACATCTGCTCTGGCCAGGTAGGAGTCGTTTGTCTCATCTCCCTTCTGAGTGATCTTGAATAAGGCTCGCTCGGCGGCTTCAAACTTCTTCTCCAATGGCACTTGACCCCAAGTGCCTCCCAGGATGGAAATTATCTTCTTCACCGCCTCCATGTCGCCCGTCTTGAGCTCTGCCTGTTGTAACTGAAGCTTCTGAAAGGCTGATCCACTGCAACCCAAGATCAACCTGGTGATGAGCTCCGGGTACTTGTCCTTCGGCCAGACATTGGCCACCAACTCCACCTTCTGCGACCATGTCTCCAAATTCTCTCCACGGCTCGGGTCGAAATTCGGCACGAGCTGCGCGATCTGCGTGGGAACCCCTGTGAATCCCCCTCCTGTTTCTCCCTGCGCCATTGCAACCAGCGAATGCGGTCCTCAAAACTGCAATCACCCAACTGCAAAAGCCACTGCACCTGGTCTCTCGTTCAGACCTCCGGTTTCTTTCCACCTCCCTGGCCTATCGTCCAGGCCGCCGGCAGCGTCTCCCTGAGACTGAAGCTGCTCACGCTACCAATGTAAATCCCCAGGCGACCTCGCCTACCGAGAGCTCCTCCGCGACCTTTTCCCCGTGGCGCCACGCCCTCTAAGGTCTTTCCCCTAAACCTGAGCCCCTGGGCAAACGGATTCACATCGGCTGCAATCTGCTGACGAACATCTCCAAGCGAAGGCACACGATTGACAGTTTAGAGGAAAACACCTTTATTTCCCAAAAAGCTAAAGTCTAAAGATCCAACCCAATAGCAGTCAAGACAGAAGCATGAAACAATCCTCTCCCCCATACGCCACAAACTCTGTCCACTAACAAGTTGCTTGCATTTCTTCGCATGCTCCTTGTGATCCTTGCACCGCGGTGCTTGGATACCAAATATGCTGGCCATTGGCGTCAGCGTAGTGTGCGTGCTGGCCGCTTCCCGACCTTCCTTAGTTCATGTCCTGAGCTTCTGCTCAGTCCCCCACTGCAAGCACCACGTGCAGTGGCTGGTTTGAAGGTGTTGCGACGACTGTTGGACGTCCTTCAGACCTCCCTTTCAAAGGCTTGGGTGACTCATTTCTCCTACCATGCTGAACTTTTCCTCGAGGCATTGAGGGCCTGTGACCTTCAAAAAAAACAGATATAACCAGCACCTTCTCCGGGCTGGCAAAAGTTGATAGCTTGCAACTTGCAAGGATATGCAAGTTAAACACACCGCATCTAAAACTTTTGGCTTCTGAGTTTGGGCACCGCTGTGTAGGACGGTCCCCAGTTTCTCTAATGCTATGCCGTCTCTCTGACCGAATATAGTCAGTGCAAAGCTCCGGCTGCAAACATAAGACACATATTGCTGGATATCTGCGAACCAAAGACCGGCCGCGACGCACCTAAGCCGTTGATTGGGGTCCGTTGGGCCATTCAAGGGGATCCTAGATGTTGAAAAAAAAACCCTTTGGTGTCCATCTCAGCATTGCTGTATGGCGGATATCAGTTCACATCTATGAATCCATGTCCAATTGCTCCCTCTGAACGTTAAATAGCGCGACTGCACAAACCAAACAACAATCCATTCTTTGTGGTTTCATTAAACAACGGGTCAACCGTGATGGGCCATTCGGTCAGGGTGTGTCTCAAAATAGGGACCCTCCGGCTGCACAATTTCCTTTGGGTTTCCCTTAAACGCCCTCCAAAGGAGGTAGCCTCAAACAATCGCCCACCCATTCAACATCAGGGCCACGTCCGTCGGGCTGCAAGCTCTACGCTGGGCCTCCGTCTCTGCAACCATCGCTGGATGCGCGGCAAAACTCACTCAGCCTACCCTAGCAAAATGCTGATTGCTGGCCTCCCATGACTCAGGCCAGATTTGCTGCCACAAACGACGGTGCCTTGCAGCAACTGCACGCATGCGCTGGTTTTTGAGCGTAGCTGGGCTGGGTCTGGGCTGGAGAGGAGTTGAACACCTCGCTTCAAACAAACATCTGCCCGTCTATGGGTTGGTCAAGTCAAGTAAGGTGTCCCATCTTTCCTGTGCAAAGGAACGCCAAAGGTAACAATGGTCCCAGAAGGAGTCACTGACTGCACATCCGTCTGACAAACTGAGCGCCAGTGACTGAACCGTTTTGCTAGGCCCCCACCGTTTGGCAAAAGGACATTTCTGTATCTAATCTTCTACGCTGATTGAGCCAGGCCAGGAGTTCAATAACACACATTCAGCTGACTTGTCCAAAGGACGCGGAAATAAAAGGTCGAGCTCCTGGGACCATGACTAGACTTGATAGGATTCTCAAAGGTCAAACAGCTTGTGCTACTGATCCTGCCAGGACGTTGTATCATAAGCGGCAATGCTTCCACGGTTGGCCACCTTGTGCAAAGTATGCACCTGAAAGGCAATCCATGATAGCGTGAGCAGCAACCAACCAACCAACCGACCGACCAACCAACTGAAAGCAACAACAAGCGAGGACGCCAGTGAGCAAGAGCGCGAACAGCCAAACACAAGCATGCCAACAAATGATCAAACAAGGAGACATAGCAACTGCAACTCGCTTGATCCCGGCACGAGCCTTTTCGCCCGGCCGCCAGCACTTGCCAACCCCAAGTGGGCTCCTGCACCTCTTGGGCTGAAAATCGGGGTCTGCTGACCCCTTCAGTTTGATGTTGCTGAAGGGAACATGCCTCTGCGTGTTTCGCTTGGTTTAGCCAAATTTATGCTTTTTGCTTGTCTGGCCTGAGGCTCTCCCGCTCAACCGCATTTGGTAGATGGCTGGCCTGGCGCCGGGTCAAACCGCTCGTGAGAAGTTACCAGCGCGTGTACAGTCGGAACCTCGCATAGCGGCACCACAATAGCTTGAAGTCACGGTACGTACAGATCTCACCAACATGTGCACTCAGTGCGCTCTGTCCCTGTAAGCAAAAGAAGTGACTACGTTCGCACAACGTCACTACGTCAAGAGCAAATCCACACCAACTGGAAAGCAACGCTCAAGAGCGCAGATCCAAGGAATTCGCGTGGACTCCACGTCGCAAAGCATGGGACACCCGCTCAGGACTACGTCCCGAAAACACAAGGGGACACCTGCGACAGCCTCTACCGACAAGCGTTGGAACGTAACAAACCTGCATGGGAAAAAGCGAACAGGACGATTTTGGGCAAGAAAGGACGACATACCACAAGCATCCAGGGCAAACGAGACATAAACCGACGCATGCCGATGACACAGATCTTTCTTTGACTATTACAATGCCACCGCCACGCAAGCAGGAGCAACCATCGATACGCGGTCGGCAATCGCGCACACAGGATTCCAGCTGCCCTGTCAAGAAGAAACATGGAACGTGAACGGGATCCCCTGTCTGACCGTTTTGTCTGGGGACCCTCTTTCAGATTCCAAGTCTCGGATTCGAGAGGCCCTGCCTTGAGCCTGTCCTCACGCCTGAGGATCAAGCTTCCACTCGTGAGGCGGACCCAAGCATCACCCCAACCAAAAGGACACTCCCTTTAAACTGGGCAAAAGGAAATCAGGATCCATGCTTGACATCTAGAGGCCCTGCTCCCGAAACCTCAACCCCGCCTATTTCCAAGGAAAACCTCAACGTGGTCCGTTTCCTAGGCGCTTTCCTCAGGTGGAGCCAGCCCCTCCCAATTCCCTTCCCCACACAAGGAAAGTCCTTTCAACATGGCAAGCGGGTGGTGTTTGATCTGCACAAAACCGAAAGACGGAACCCTCAATCGTTTGCACAAGTTGAACTGATCTGAATCAAGTGCTTGACTGTTGCTAAAGCGGAACTATGGGCGGGGGGGGTGCTCAAAATGGTGCTCCCCTAAAATGGGTTGGTTTCTGTTTAAACCAAAGGGGGTTCACCATTTTGAAAAACAAAATACCACCTGCACACGACAACCCCACCTTGGCGCGCTTCTTGGCAGGCTCAGCCGCCTAAGAGCCACTCACTCGCTCGGCGCCGTCAAGGGGATTCGGTGCGGTGGAAACGATACCTGAACCAACCCTACATCACATCCGAAACCCTCCTGAACCAACGCTAAATCAACTCCAAAGCAACCGTCTCAACCCACCCGTACCAGCATAAACATATCCAAAACAACGCTACAGGGCGTTTTTTCTTTCAGTCTCCCCTTGAGAGTTGTGCCCCGTTTTGAGGCACACTCCAAAAGATCTGATCTGTTCAAGGTGTAGTTTCGATCAAGAGCTGGTATTTGAGTGAGCGTCAAAATTACTTATCTGGAGTGTTCTCGTTCCGTCCCGTATCGTTTTGCAGCTTTTCTCTCAGGTTTTGGGGTATCGTTTTTTGACGCCCCGAATTGTTTTAGAAAAACAACAAACTAACATGTGCATGAAACACTCCTACATAAAGTAAATGACGGTAATTATTGAAGCCGACTCATTTGGGTGATGTTTGAGTAGCCCAAATGTATACTTGGGACCCTCTCTCTCGGATATTTTGCCATTTAAGTTGGCTGGGGTTGACCCTCCGCTGGTATCAACTTGGGGCTCTCTGTGGGTCTTCGACGGGTCCCCGATGTCCCCCGCCTCATTCAGTGCCTCCCTGAAGGCCGTGCAGAAGTGCTGCACGTCCCGGAAGGAGCTGGCAGAACCGGGCGATGTGGGAGGAGCTGGACAAAAACCAGGGATTAAACTGATCCACCGACAAAGTGTCTATTTCTGAGGGCTGACATAGGAGGTCCTATGGGTCAAAGGGGTGGTCAACAACCGGGGAGAAAGAGAACTGATCCGTGCCTGCATGCCAGCGTCGTAAGATTTTTCCCAAGGCACTGTCAGCGCCACTTATAAGTGTGGGGGCAGCGGCAAATCCAGCGCACCCTGAATGCGTCCGGCCCCAAGCCCAGTCCACTGAGTGGGCAGAACTTGCGAGGTGCCGGCCGACCTTTGCAGCGCACAAACTGAGCTGGAAGCGCTTGTAGAGAGGCGCCGGAGCTACTCGGATGACGTTGGGCTTCCTGTGATCCACCACCTGGGCAGCACAGATATGCGTGTGGGTCAAAATGGGCACCCAAAAGGCCCAAAATGGAATGCTGGGTAATGGAACCAAGGACTGAAACCTGCAGTGCCCTGGTGGTCTAATTCTGACCCACAGCCATATGGGCAAACGCATGCAGCTGGTGACAACCAAACACGCAAAACACACCGAATGGCGTCAATGGGCACTGCGCCAAGGCTGCAAAACCGCTAAAAAAACGGCGCACCAGCCCACCAACCAACCGGCACGCTTCAACCCCCTGCCGTAAGGTGGCAGTGCCGGGAGTCTCTCCCCATTTCTTTCCGGTCTTTCTTAAAAGGATACATGAGATTTCAGGTCACCCCCACCTTCCCCAATGCGTCCGGCCCCTGCAGATGGTAGACGTATCACTAAAGGCTCAGGCCCAGGCGATGCCCCGCTTTTCCAGCGCGCCGAAGGTTGCAAGGCATGCTTCGGCCTACATGCAAACGAGGCTTTGAACATGGGTGACGCCCCATGCGGTTGGGGCCTGGTCTCGTTGCATGGCCCTTAGCGGGTAGTCAAACCTGAACTTGGAGGCCACACATTCGGTTTTGATGCATGCCATCCCCGAGAACCCGTTCCATCGACCTGCACCAGAATCTCCGGACGAACCCAGGGACGCAACAAATCCCCCTATCCGGCACAAGGATTTCCGGAAAAGCCCGAAGCGCACTGGCCTTTGGTTCTTGCCAGCCTACCGCACGCAAAACGTCTCCCGGACTTGCCTCACTGAACTTCAAGCTGAGTTGACAGCCGCGAGCTGCCGGTTCTGCAGGGGTGATCACCTCGGGCTAAGCTGCAGAGGTGGCATGCGAGTTGCCCAATGGCGAAGAGGGAACCTTGGGCTCGGTCACTCATTTTCGCCGGGAAACCGGCAAAGGGTAAACACAGGGGCTACCGATTGGCTCAAGACAGGCCATTTGCGAAGGCGTTGCCTGCCATGCATGGCAAGCGGTGCTCAAAGAACCCCATCACTGGTCATAAGTCTGCAACCAATGACTGCTTTCCGGGAGCCAACCCAAACTGCCAAGCGAAGAGCCAAGCGCCCGGCGGACAAGTCAGCTCCAAAAAGGTCTGAAAGGCAGAACTCGAGGTATGCCGTCAACAGCATGGACCTTGCCCGCCATCCGTCTGAACCCTCTGGACATCTCTAGTCTCATTGGATGGGATCTTGCCCCCTTCCATTTGCGTCTGCTTCGCGCACTTGGATGATGCGCCCAGAAACAACGTAAGCTGGGCGGCTTTCTCAAACGGCCTTCCGAGGCCGCATATTGAAAGCTAACCTGCGAAGCCAGAACGAGAAAACACCGGCGGGGGCAACTCGCGCAATGTTTCTGTTTTGTGATGCGCATTCTTGGCTAAGCACGTGGCTTCCCACGCAGCTCAGCCATGCTGGTCCTGACACTTGGCGACAAGGGCTTGTGCAGGAAGGTGTGCTTTGTGTGGCAACTATCATTGTGCAGAAAAATCAAATTCGGGGAAGCTGGAAGGAATTTGTCGGTCAGAGAATCCTGCAGTTCCCTGCGTGAGAAAAGGCCCCCTTAAGTTGCTGTAAGCCTCTAAAGATTGGGCCTCAGATCAGAACCTATTTCTCCGGGGGCAATCGTTAGGTGTCCGAAAGGTGCATCTTAGACCACATCTGCCGCGTGGTTGTTACAAGAAACACACAATGAACCTTTGGCGAACCAAACACGAAACAGACTTTGGAGCTGACATTGGGTCCACACCTGTCGAGACACACCCCTATACTCCTAGTCAGTGAAGCCCCACTTCACGTCAACAGTGTAGCGAAACCAGTGAAGTGAAGTCCTAACCTTGCAGGAAGCTGAGCGAAAGTGCACAATTCTGGGCTTATTCACCCAGAAACATGTGGAATCATGACAACCATGTCCAGCAGATTTGCAGTGAGTCGCTCTGCTGCTCTGGGAAACATTTAACCGACAAGGAACTCGATAAATGGCTGGCAGATGCTGGCAGGTTATTCCATACTGAATCAAACAACTGTGAAATCGAGCAGTTGGAGGCGCACAACAACCCGTTGTATCCACGCCATAACGTGATAAACTTCAAAAGGCTCTTTAGTCCAACTCTTTGGCCAAATGTATCCAAATTTGCCACGGGAGGACCTAGTTGCATAGCCTCCAACAGGCGGTGCATTTTTCCCAGCCCAATGTTCACTCATCACAGCTTCGTGCTTCCTTGCGCCATACTGTGGGTGGACGAAATCCATTACCTAGGAAACCCCAGGAAGGAAGGATGATTCCTTTGTAAATACCAACAAACATAGTGGTTTCAATCATGGTGTCTTTGGTGGTTTCAACCATGTCTTCAAATCCATTTCGCACCTAGGAAACACTGGCAGGAGAGTTCCCCTGTAAATACCCACCGACATTTTTTTGATTCAAAAGTCCACCGTGGCTTCAACGTGCCAGAAGTGGACTCCGCCGCCCTCCGCCCTCCGCACCCCGCGGGTGCCGGGGTGTCGGCTCCTGGCGAAGACCTCGAGGCTCGCGAGCAGCGCCACCGTCTGCAGCACCGGGGGGTTCGAGAGGCGCCAGGCGCCGGCGTCTGCCTGGCCGCGCGCGGAGCCGAGGGCTGGGGCGTGGAACTTGGGTGCTGTAGATCCCCCAGCGAAAAGCTTAACTTTTTGCTGGTTAAAAGGAAATATGAGGGGAATCCAAAAAGCTCAAGTCTAAAGATCCAACCCAACAGCAGTTGAGGTAAAGGAGGCCCCTTGGATGGGCGCCTGGAGGAAAGACCAAGCCACCAGAATGATGTGCCGGGCATTGGACTGGAGTGGTCGGAAATGGAAGGCTCTCTGAAAACTGGGCCGTGGCAAACAAACCAGACCATACATAGCTGTGAACAATGATCACAAGGCCCTCACAATGGTCGGTAAATTTATTTTGCCGGCTGAGGGACCTACGAGAAGGGCACTGTGCTGAAAAGAAAATAAGGCTAGCCCTCACTCACTTCCTTCCACCGGTGCATTTTTTGCGCGGAATCCCGTTGTTAGCACAGCTGACGCACACCTCACCCAAGAATCCTGGAACCTGAGTTGCTGAGGCACGCTCCTGTCTGAATCTACCCCAAGCATCGCATCGCTTGATTGGCTCTGTCAATCCGAGCAAAACATGGCACGTCATGCTCAAAACAACTCTGTCAGTTGCAAGAGATGTCATAAGTCCAACCTCACGCACAATGGTTGTCCATCCCCCGACTTAATTGCTGCCGAATTCAAGTAACATCAAACACGCGCTGCAAAGCACACATGTTAAGACAACATCTTGCTGAACTTGCTGCCCATTCAAGTGGGCAACCCCAAAACCCTTCATACCACGGCCAAAACCCAACCCCTGGGGCCTGCCTCTGGATCCCAGTTGTGCTCCATGTTGAAGCGCGTAGCTTGCTTCTGGCCTGGGAGCGTCACCGCGCTTACTTGAAACAATAGTGGTTCAAGCATGCTGAACCAAGGGGTTGGCCACCACCCCTGTGATCATTGGCTTATCATTGGATCCAAAAGCACAACTAGTGTTTGATGATGTCCTGGAGGAGTCAGTCAACTCCGTTTTGCTGGTTGGGTGCTTGAGATAATCGGCCACTCATTTCCTTGGCGAGTAAACCCCCAAGAGCAAACACTCACACTACTTGTTTTGGTTGCGATACACAGGAGACGCACGCACACACACACACAAACACTGTCGAGGGAAGCCAGCGCTAAGTACCAGGCCCCACCAGCCTGCCATCAGCGGCAAACCTGAAGCACCAGGATCTCCCCAATTGGCTAACCCTAACCCTTCCATCTGCAAATGATGTGCATGATTCTCACTCTCCAGGCACGAATTCTCACCTGCACCTTCTCAATCTGGTGGTCTCACCAGACTTTACCCTTTGATCCCGTGGGAATTGGGACGTTCGAGGGTATCCATTCCAGCGTCATTCTCAGCCCCACGCGCATTCCGACCCGAAGGCGCGCCGAACTTCCCCCCCCGCGCCTTTGCCATGGTGCTTGCTGTGGACGAAGAAGCCGCCGATGGCTCCGGGCCCGGAGTTGAGATACTTGTAGTTGCACCTGGCTAGTCAACTTTCTGCTTCGATACCCCTACTGTTTCCTTGAGAATCCCAAGACCCCGAAACCTGGAAGGCCACCATTTCCGCACCTCATCTCTCTTGAAAACCTGGCTGGCGGCCTCCAATGCCTGCCCTTTCATGGCCTTCTTGGTCGCCTTGTGATTCTCCGCTTCGGTTTCCGCTCGCTTTCTTAGGCAACACATGGGCTCCCCTCTGCGCTTCCCTTTCCGTATCAAGCGACTTGCTCCAGGCGCACCAGCACGCCCCGTCCACTTCCCAGTCGTGCAGCTTCAGGTCCTCAGCAGAAGCTGGATCAAAAAAGAAGGGAAAAAGGAAATGCAACTTTTTGGAACCTAAAAAGAATCGGATTCCACATGTGAGTTTATCGGAATCATGGTTTTCGGAACACCTTTAGGAACCCATATTGTAGAAACTCATACGTAAGAGATTCCCACACTATCAGGAATAGGCTACCCCAGCTAGGAAAATATCCGGAAAGCTTTCGCCTGGCACTAAATCACTGCCTGTCTCAGTTGCCAGCCACATTGCCGGCCGCGTGTGCGCAATCCCACAGGGCCTCATCATGTGCTGGATTCCATGCGCGTTGACAGGTGAGCGGTGATTGGCCCTCGTTTTGCATGAAAATCTGCCGGGACACAAACAACAAACCTGCCATTAGTGATCCAAAACATGATGAATCAACAGTGCAAATGGCTTGCATGGTTGCTAAGCCTACACAGTCTATACTCTCTATCTTCTTCGGGTGATGCAACCCACCAGCCTGATATCTGCAGGCAGACCACATTCTGACAAGGAATCCAAAGAAAGGGTCTCCGAAGCCTTTTGGAGCCCCATGCGGGTTTGTGTGCAAAGAGATGGATGGTTTGCCGTTGGTTCCATTTAATCGTCCAACTGATTCAACACAGGTACCGTAGGCAAAAAAACACACACACACACACACAATCCTGCGGATTTCAGAAGACTCGTGTAATGGTCAGCCCCAGGGCCCCGGGCGGTGGCTCCCACTTTGTGAGTTGCACGGGTAATGGCGGCAACATCGAAGTACTGACCTGTATAGTACCTGCGGATGCCACTGCTGATCAACACGTCCCCCTGGCAACCAAAGTACGTTGGGAAAACGGGAGCCTTTTCTTGGTCAGTCAGGTTTTCTACATCGGGAGTTGGTGTCTACACGTTTCCAAACACCTCCTACGAACTTGAATTCGAGATTCCCGACATAGTCCTCATGTCAAAAGCACAAAGTAAGCCTTTGTGGGGTTGCTTTGCAGGTAAACCAAACGCAAGCCACCCATGTCAAGGGGGTGGACACAATCGCGATTTTTTGTTTTTGTTTTTTGTTTTTTTCTCAAAGAGGGGCCCTGAACCTCTTGACACGTTGGAGTCTGTTTGACCCAAGGACCTGTTGGTTCAAACTAGCTGCCGAACTAAAGCTGGGCCTTCTCCCACGGGCCGAATTTGCATTTCGAGAGTCCCCACGCCCAATTCCCCATGCCTGTGGCAAACCCAGCCGGGCACTGCACGGTGCCGAAACAAACCGTGGCAAGACTGTCACCAGCGGCCTCCCAGGTGGACAAAAGCAAGCATATTTCTCCTTACTGTTAATGTTCAATCCAGAATACTTTATACATTGTTGCGGCTTCCTTTCAAACAGAGCAGCCTGCTGTCTAAACACTTGCAAGCCCTCGGGGAAGAAGCGCCGCAGCACATTGACATAGTAGTTCCCATTGGGACGCCCGTTAACGGCCAAAGCGAATGGCCATATTTTCCTTCCCTGCTGTTCACCAAAGGGTCGGACGAATAATAGCAACCAACAACAAGTTCCCATCCTCTTGTGGTGTCTTAGGAGTTTTATATATCCATGTATGTATGCATGCATGCATGCATGCATGCATGCATGTATGTATCTATGCAGGCATGGATGTATGTATGTATGCAATCATGCATGTATGTCTGCGTATATATATATATATTGCATATACATGTATGGGCTATTCACAAGCAGCTTCCGGCCCCCTGGAGTTTCAAGGGAAACCAAAACTGGGCTCAGATCCCCCGCTAAAAAAATCAATAACTGTCAGCGGGTTAAATGGAAATCCCCACTCAACACTAAGAAGCTAAAAAGCTAAGGGCATGGCTGGGAAGCGACAAGAAAAGAAGCCACGCATTTCGGGGGACCGATATGAGAAGCACCCAGGTTGTTCGTTAAAAAGCAAACCTCGGATCCGCCTCGATGGCCTTCACCACATCCTCCGTTCGGAGAAGCTCCTCCCCTGCGCGAGCCTGAGGAAAGCCAGGGATCTTCAGCGGAACGCGGGGCCAGTCGCCACAATTTGGACCGTGGAATGGTGGCTGATCCAGACTTCCATAGGAGCTCAGAGAGACGCGCGCAAAGAAGTAATGTTATGCTGGACCCTGTTTACACCCCCCCCCCCGCTAGGAGTGGAACCAATCAGTTGGACCCTCTTTAAGCGAGATCCTGGGGGTCTGGGAGGGACAGTACTTCCTTTAGTATTGCCAATTCTACTTAGTATTGCCAAGGCTGACCCTCAGATTCCCAGTACTTGCTTTAGTATTGCCAATTCCACTTTAGTATTGCCAAGGCTGACGCTCAGCTTCCCAGTACTTACTTTAGCATTGCCAATTCTACTTGAGTATTGCGGGTCAGATTCCTAGAACTTACTTTAGTATTGCCAATTCTACTTTAGTATTGCCAAGGACCTTTTTTTTCAGCAACCCCCCAAACAGGTTAGACACTAAAGAGGACCCCAAAACAGTCGCATTAAAAAGGATCACGGCCCCTGGTGGGCACCCCCCTTTGCGTGACTGATTGCCCGTACTTTTGTGTAAAGAAGTTATCTTAAATTTGATGGTTTGGGGGCCACTGGCAAAATGAACTTCCTAGATCCAAGGCCTTTACCCTTTGAGCTGGGAAGAGCTTGGTTAGGTGAACCGCCCTAAAAGTAAAAGGCTAAGGCTTGAGTCTAATAATTTCAGCAACCCAAAAAGCCGTTGGACACTAAAGAGAACCCCAAAACAGTCACATTAAAAGAGGATCAGCTGGTGGGCACCCCCCCCCCTTTGTGTGACTGTTTGCCCGCACTTTTTTGTAAGGAAGTTATCTTAAATTTGATGGTTTGGGGACCACTTCAAAAGATCCTGTTTGCCCGGATTTGTTTGCTCGGGTTTTTTGCTCGACTTCTTTGCCAAGTTTGTTTGGCCCATATGTTATCGGAGGCTTAGCCCTAGACAAGATCAGGAGAGTACAAAAAGAACCCTTTTGTTTCTGTTTTTGTTTTTGGTTGGGGGGGGGGGGGCGGGGAATAAGTGCTGGAATTGAGGACCCCAAAGCAGTCACAAGATCCTGAATTGCGAGAAAGGAGGTGTAACATTAAGAGAAGCCAAGTAAGTACTGTCCCTCCCAGACCCCCAGGATCGTCCCTAAAGAGGGTCCAAAAGACTGGTTCCACTGTCAGTGGTGTGGGGGGGAAGGTGAAAGGCTGGCTTCTCGTGGATATCCTCTTAGACGCAAACCAAAAGGCCTGCCTTACTGAACAGCCCCTGCCGATGTGGGGCGCCTGAAAAAATCGAATTCAAGCGGCTTAGGGCCGGCTTAGCATCGATCCTTAAAAACCATCCAACAAAAGGGAAGGAACATGGGGGAAAGGGCGTCACTGAATCAGTTGGTCCTTTGTCGGCAGCAATCAGAGCAAGGACAGCAACGTGATGTGGCCTTCTAAACGCTTTGCCGAGAGTGGGCCATGGGAGGCTTGCCCGGCAAGCTCGGGCAAGCAAAATGACAGGCAAGCCACCAAAACAAATGCAAGTCTTCCTCAGAATGCAACATCGGGGACACACAATCGATGAAACCCAAACACCAAACATTTGTGCACACTGGGCCTCCACTCGGTCGATTTTCATCCAAGTAGACAAGTCACAAACGCTTACCTGCGCCAATCTCCTGTAGATTGCTACTTGGTTTCCATCTCTGGAAACTACACAGGAAGCTGAGGCACCAAACCAACTCGACAAGCTTCGAAGAGGAAACGAAAACAGCATACAAAAAGAGCTGACAAACAGCTGACAAACTCTTATTCTTGCTTTCCCAACCAATTGTGTGTGCAAGGGAGCAACCTCAGCCAGAAATCGACCTGTAAACGCGACACGAACCGCGGGGCCTGAACTGGCAGCAGCACCTCCTTTGGATCCAGGCCGTGAATGCGAGCCTCGAGCCGGATGGGACCTGGGACCTCATTTCAGGTCAAAACCTGGGGGTAGCCATGGCCGTAGAACCGCAACTGGCCAAATCTGCGGGACCAGGCGAATGGAGAATGGCTTCAGATCCCCGTTGGTCTGTCCAGTTAAACTTGGCAGTTCCTGAAAACCTTGGCACCAACCAAGCCTGCGAGGGTGACTATTCTATTATTCTGAATCCAACTCCAGACAATCCTAGCTGCTGAACTCTTCCAATCCTGTGCCACAAAGCAGTGCAGCAGGCCATGCAAGTCGCGCCTGTGATTCGAAGACAAAGTAGTCGGAGCCAAAGGCGCTAGCCTGCAAAGGCAAGCCACGGAAAGGAATGCACAAAGGGATCAGCACCTCGTACATGATCTTCTTGCGCTTGCCGTCGGGTCTGTAGAATGACACCTGCAGCTAATGAAAGCAAAGTGATTGACAGGGTCTTGCTCCAACATATTGCTCGTTCTGCAAATCAGCCCGGCGCAAAGAGCAAGTGAAGGTTCATGGTGAGGCTGTTCATGATGGCCACCTTCGCATGGGCAATTTGGTGAGAGAATGGTTGACCCTGGAACCGGTTCCAGCAGCCATGCGCCAAGTGCTTATTTAGCTGTCGCGAGCTGCGAAGCTGGCGCACAATTTGTTTCATCGCTCACAAAGAAAGGGATTTGTGTTAACGTTTTGGTGACATTGTGGATAGACAAATGCGTGAAGTGCACAATACATGATCAACGTTTGCAGGTCGGTTGCACAAGCAGCCAGCAAACTGCTTGATGTAATCACGCTTTAATCACGTTCTTGTTTTCGATCTTATGATGCCTTCGCATGCATCTATGCCTCTTACACACCCAGTTATGAATTCTCAAAACAAACTCCTTGATTAACGCTACTAGTATTGTCATCAACATTGGTGTCGATATGGTGCCATCATTCCGATTCGCACATGTTGTTGCTTTGTGCTAGGCCAGCGCGCTTTAGTACTGGTTTAGTATAGCTTTGTGCTAACACTGGTTAGTAGTGGCTCAGTAATGGTTTGCTTGGCCTCACCGCTGGGATTAGTTTGGTATTGGTTTCGTCTTGGTGTCGCCTGGTTCTGTTGTTTAGCATTCATGATTTTACCCCATGAGCTTCCATGAACCGGTCGGTCTTTGACTGGAGGATGCCAATCTCAACCAGTTTCATTGGCCTAGTATTGGTCTAGTTTTGCTTTAGTGTTGGTATGTCTGTGCGTGGGTGTCGGTCTAGTATTCGCTTAGAATTGGCTTAGTATTGTTCTTGTGCCCGGTGTTTGGAGAATTGTCTAATCGCCACCTGGCAGCCAATATCTAGTCGCTCACCACAAACAGCTTTCCGTGTGTCCTGCCCCCTTTCTTTTTCAGGTGATGGAATACACTGGAACATTTTCCTAATTCCTCCCGCTTTGCTACTCGATATCCAACATCAAACACATCCATTCCCTTGAAACCATATCCATCACCTTGAGTCCACATCAAATTCACGATCTTGACTACCAAATCCATTCCACCACCTTGAATGACACATCAATTCCGTGTTTTCCTTGCGTTTCCCCGCAGGTATCTCAACCCTAAGAAACCCCGGAAACATGCAGTTCCCCCTGCTTTTTTGCCAACAGTTACCATGGGAACCCCATGGTTTCTTAGGTGGTGCCGAGGATTTCCTCCATCAGTACAAATCGTTTCGTCTCCTTTCCGATCCGGGCGGCCAGGGCGCCTCGGACTTCGTCGCGCCGACCAGGGCGGCGCTCTGCCTCGGAACCCGCGGCTCCCGGGATTTCTCCCGCCCAGCCCTTGACGGATGACCCCATAGCTGTTGCTGTTGGACAACTCGAGGTTGCTGAAAGGAATTCAGTTCTCACCATGTGGGCTGCGCATTCCTGAAAACAGGACACCAATCATGAACAAACAGCAACATGCTTTAGCCAAAGGAGACGCAACCCAACAAACAAAGCCTGCACAAACCACGCAGGTGCTCACACGCATCATTGTCTCGACACCGTGCATTGCTGTCCGGTAGGAGCCTCGCAAATGGTATGTGTTTCAACATGCACAAGGAAGATTAAATTGTTCGAGGCACTTCACGACCGTGCGACACCACTGTGTACCCGAAACTTCTTTACCACAGGATATAAGAATTGAGCAAACTCATTTTTTCCTGCATCAATGGTCAGTTTTCCAACAGGGGGAAACTGACCATGGAACCTGAAAGGGTTCACAGGTTGCTTTGACCCCCTATTCAGGGGTCCTTCATCAGCGTCCAAAAAACATGGAACCCCAAGTGCCAAAATGTTTGGACCATGGCTCGCACGGTGGGAGTTAAGCTGTAACTTCAACCAACCGCCTATGCTGCTTCATGCGGTGGCAGGAGTCTGCGTCAAAATCACAACACATGATATCGGCAACACTCTCACTGGGGGATCAAGGAATTGACGGGTTGCCGCATTGAGATGTCATCCATGCAAGGGTTATAGCGGTTGTCGGGAATCTTCATCCACTGAGTGTGGACGGCGATGACCCTTGTCAGACTTAAGTTGTTCGACCATGGAAGCAATTCATGTAAGAGTCCTGAGAGGCTAATTGTTGCCAGCTGAACGCCGAAAAATATGTCGTGGTCCTCACACTCAAACGAACACCGAGGCATTGGCTCAATGACATTCTCATCGATGGGCATCCATGGTCTGTTCCTCGGTGGAATGCCAACTTGGACGTCGTGCAAAGGACATTTGTGCCCAGGTGGACCGAGTACACTCAGAGCACGGCCCAGTGAAATGACCGTTGACGCCCAAGTGGGCCCATTTGTCTAACTCCTGAGACTCACACTGCTAATGGAACAAATCCTGCGCGTGTTTGTTCTTCAGTAACAGCAGTTCTGGACACGCACAGCATCCCCAACCATTTCTTGTCATGAGCACTCAACTCCTGTATTCCCATGTGAATCCATAACCTGCGTGCCACAAGGATTTTAGGGCCAGTGATTCGCTGTCCTCGATCACCAGCTGCTTGGTGCGCGCGGGCTGCAAACCCAGGGAGTTCCTGGCAAATGCATGGCGCGAGAAAGGGCCCCGTTTGGCACTGCTCTCGCTCTGGCTCTGAATGAGCTATGAACATACAACACATAAATGTATTAATCACATTAAAGTTGTTCATTCTTGGGTGCGGCAGAAACACTTCCCCCATGAAGGTCTCGATTGAACATGCTTTTGCAATTGCAGATGAAGACACCCAAATATTTGCAAACATGGATGCGGCCATCCCTTGGCCTTAAACAAACAACACATTTCTGGGCATGGACGCTAAGGATATCCATATGTTTGCGTAAAGGGACACCATAGAAACACCATGGATTTCCAGGGATTTTGTTGAGACAAACCCACGCCGTTCTCCAGAATATGTCGAGTTTTGCAGGAGTCTGCGCTTCAGGCAAAACGCATTGACTAGGATTCAGTGAGTCATAACACAAACCCAACGTGAACAACCGCTGGTCCGACACTTGCAAAACACCAACCACCGCCTCTATCTCTATTTTCAAACATTCGCTACCAACATACAGCTGACCCAATCAACTTGATTTGCGCCTGGCAAAGGAGACCCTACCACGCCCCGCTCCCACTCCCTAACCTAGGTGTCCACAAATTGACGGCATCGGAGTCTAGAGCCAAACTGAAACCAGGGCCATCTACCCTGTGCACTGGAAGACTATGCTCCTAGAAACCCTCTGGGTGGGTTCCCTGGCACCATGGAGTAATTCATCTCAACCGAACGGAACACCAGGACTCCCGCCCCTGCCGTGCCGGGTCAACTGGCGCCGCACCCGACCAGGTAGGTGCACTCTTCGTCGCCGGGTGCCAACGACGGGTCCGTCCCGGGCAGGTCTCCGTTTCGAGGGACCTGGCACGCGACATCTGCTCTCCCTAAGAGATCCAAAATCGGTGGCCTCTTTTCAGGTTCCCCCACCCCCACCCTCCCCTCCATCCCCCTAAAAAAAATGGAAATCTGCCAAGACTTGAGGGTTCGGCATTTGGAGTCTAACCCAACTTGTCAACTTATTTGCTCAATGACCATCGCAAAAAAAAAAAACAGGTTCGTGGGTAGCCATGCGTGACAAACAAAATGGGTGCCACTGGACAACTAGGCGTTGAAGAGGCACCATGACTTGTATTTTCCTACACGTGTTTGTTTATATATCTCGTGCCCGTGGATTCTGCTAGACACAATTCTTTGCCCCAGCATTTACATGCTTGAAGAAACCCCAACCCGTACACGGATTCCCTGCTCGCGGGATACCTTCGGGTAATTTTGGTTCGGCCGACCAAAAACGAGGTGCGCTGGTTCGAGGGCAGCTGGCTCAACTTCTTGTCCAGGGCTTGGGCCACCTGCGAAGCGAAGTGGGCGCTGATGTCAGGCCATCAACGACCAGGCGCTACGAAGAGTCGGGAGGGCTTGGCTTCAAAACAGAACGCTTGTGTCGATTTGTGTTCCAAGGGTTTGGTGGTTGTGATTTTTTTCCTTAGGCAGTTCGCTGGCCTGCAAACCACAATTGGGAAGCCAATGGTGAGTGGTCCAGGAACAGGAACTCGCATGCTAAACCTCCAACGAAAACATGTAGGTATGAGTCGAGTCGTGTCACAAATCCATTGCCTGCAGGGGAATTTCCTGTTGAGACACGCGATGCGCCGTGTGCCTTCCTCGCGCACATCCCAAAGCCGAACTCGCCTCCGGGGCCGCGAGCTCCTTGCCCAAGGCCTCACATGCCGCATGCCGCTAACCCGTCCTTCACTTTGATGTGGCCAAGTGGGTAGCGAAGTGGCTCGGGAAACGTGTATTTTTGTTTAATTCTAACATCCAATTTTTCTGGCCACCCAACCAATGCACCCCTTGCATCCCCGCCTGAGCCACGGCTTTGAGGCCCTGCCGAGCTTTTTCACCGTCCAGGGAGCTGAGCCACGCCTTGATTCGCTCGAGGTCAGGGATGTCACTTAAGGCCGTGGCAGCTGGGAAATTCATTGATTGGGAGTCGTTTTGAACAAAGCAAATTAGGCTGAGAAGGGACCCGATATTTAACTTCATGAATGACACAATGGGCTTGGGCAAATGGTTTGCGACTGCAACATGTTCAAAGCAATGACCACGAATCAACATGTCTAAAATACATTTGTAAGTTCCTTTTTTAAAACAAATGAATGGGTTTGTAAGTTTCTGAATGCACATCATTCCATACGTGCTGGTCATGATCTTCTTAACGGTTGACGTACAAATGTTGATTTGATTGCCCGCACATCGACATAACGGCGCCATCTTGGGTCCCAGCTTGGCTCACAGTGCCTGGCGTGAAGGACCACAACCAGTATGCCCTAAAAAAACACATGGCCATGGGTCAAAACCAAATCGTACCCTCAGAGAACATCCCAATCCCCACTAAAATAGACTAAAATGGGAGGTGCACCTACCCCTAAATGGTACCATTGGTTTGACCCACAGCCACATCTCAGCTTTGACGTGTTTGCCAGTCTTTGGCGCTATTGACAAAAATGTTGTCTTTACACTGGGAACATTTCCTCCCGCAAACACACCTTCAAAGGCGCGGTTCGTGTGTTCCGCAGTTGATGTCCCTGATCCCTGATCGGTGTCTGACACACCGAAACAACTAAATCTGGCCCAGCCTTCGGATGCCAACGCTTCATGGCTATTCCCGTTCATGTCAAGCTCGTTTCAAAAACACTGTGACGATCTAAGTTCCAGCGGTTGGCTGGTCTTTGTCTTTGGTGAAATGTTTGCTTGTCGGCTTTTCTGTGGCCATGTTGTTTGTGGTTGAAATGTAAGTTTTCGCCAAGTCTTGCAAGGTGCGCGTGCACGGCTTGGGCCGCAAAACTTGGGTGACACTCTGGCATAATTTTTGTCCTGTCCTACCCCCCCCTTGTGGCACAAACATTGCAAATCGCCAAAAAACGTTGCGCCCATCTTTTGCGGCATGCAATGCTTGCAGCAAGTTGGCGCGTGCAAGCCAGTTCCATGAATCAGGAGCGAATTGCTTTGAACACCTACGCTACACTGTTCGCCGCGCGCGCTCCGTGGTAACATGGCTTGCAACATCTGGAAAAACGTTGTATTTGTGTGATTCATTCAATCTTTGCCAGTGCGCAGCCACGGCTCAAGCGGCGTGACAATTTGACCGACATGGATCAATCTCGCAGCCTTCCTGCTTTGCAGTTGGCTCTTGAACATGCAGTGAAAACTCCCAATCTTCCATCGGGACTGACGCCTATTCTGAGCATGGGGTCTTGCACGGTCTTGCCCTCAAAACGAACTCAACAGCAGGGCGAGCACCTCAGCTGTGCACTGTCTCAACACCCGCGCCCGATTAGCCATGCGGAACGCGCGCAACTCGAGGTCGCGGCCAGGGGCACGGCCAGCAGGGTGCCAGCTGCGCCACCCTCGTCGGTTCCTTCGAGCGCGCCAAATTTGACCGCCACTCCAACCAACCTGAACAAAGGTGGCCTTTTGGAACAAGAGATGGGTTTCCCTGGTGAATGGGGCATGAAAGCCAATCCAAAGCACTAGAACCCATCGTTACCACTCGGATTCGAAACCTTCAGTGTCAGAACCTGCTTGCTGAGGCCCAGGCGCATCGGCAACAACTCGATCAAGCCAAAACCTTCCAATGTACCTGCAAACCCGCGCGCCTTCGAACACCAAGCGCATTTGAGGACGGAGATGAGCATGGCTTCTGCCCTCCAGTGGTTCGGGTTCGGGGGTCCTGCTGGTTCTGTAGTTTACAGATTTCACCAGGACCCGGTTGTTCTTCACTGCCATACTGAAACGCATGCACCAGGTGTCCCTTTGTTCCCCACTCAATTTGGCTTCAGTTGTCCAACCGCAACACATTTCGCAGCCACATCCATGAACACGAGCCCCTTGCAACTCGACCTGGCGACCCACGGCGCTGCGATGCGCACGGTTGGCATCCACGATCTTCTCGCCATCCAGGTTCCGCACGCGGGTGATGAAGCTCCAGGTCGTGGAGTTCGGCGGGTACCTCCCATTTTCGGACCAGAGAGCGCCGTGGCCATTTTGGGACCCAAGGAGCCCCACGAAAGGAGCCCCAAAAACCACGAGGGTGCCTCAGAGGTAGACCTGCGATGTATGCAAAGCTGCCAATGTTTGCTGATACCTTGTTTCTTGCGAACAAGAAAAAAGTGCCTCTCATGCCCAAACTGGACAGTCAAATTTCACGTCTCCGTACCTTCCTCGAAATATCTCACTTGGCCCCAAGACAAACGATAGCTGAAAATACCATTATCCCGAGCCAAAGGGCCAGCGAAAAGGATCTGCGAACCGTATCCCTTGCTCCATGCACTTCCTGAGTGATTTGGCATCACAAGGCCCAAGCCTTTGTTCTTCACTTCAGTAGCCTATCTCGAAACGAAAAGGCGTCCGCACCTATTTCTGGCTGGGACCCCCTTGCTAACCTTCATCTACCCCCGATTTGGATTGTGGCTCAAGTGGGTTTGAGGGGGCCACCCACTTCGATCTGCACCCCGGTGCACCCGGGGTTGGCCACATCCACCTCGAGGGTGTAATTGTTTCGCAGGAGCCCTGGCACAGCACGGGCCATCGAAGCGAGGAAGCGAGGTCGATGTATCGCTTCTGCGGGTGCCCGGCTTGGACCATCAACAGAACCCTCCCAGAATAATGAGGCAAATATTTATGGAGACGTGCGCAGGTGAGTGATAGTGAGTGGGATCCTGTTTGGGGATGGCCTTGACCCGACGGGGCGGCAGCTCGGCAAATCACGGCCCGGGCCTGCGCCGTCAGGGAAGCGGATGCTGACGGTGGCATTGTCATAGCCCCGGCAGGTCATACCTGGTCCGGCCGAAAGAAGATGGACCCAAAGGCAAATGCGGTGAATACCACTCGTCTCATTGTCCCCAGTTCAAGTGCATCTGAGCATAACTTAAACGTAACACATGGTACTGAACAGTTTGAACTGAACCGCTCCGCATATGATACCCCCCTGCCTTCTGGAGGGAAGACAAAGCCGACGTCATAGCCCCTGTTGCTGGTGGGCTGATTCACGGCGTTGCCTTAGGCCAGACCAACCATTTCGGACGTAGACCAGGGATTCTACTGAAACTCTGCGCACTTTGATTCATCCGTGGCCATGGGCTACGCACACTCACAGAGGCCCCTGCGCCAGCTCTGACATACCAAGATTGCCACTCAACGAGGGGATCTAGCAAAAAATGTCTTGGGGTGCCTTCATCTGCCACCTGCGGCTTCACACACCCAACTCTCTCTCTCTCTCTCTCTCTCTCTGTGTCTCTCTCTGTCTCTCTCTGTCTCTCTCCTCTCTCTCTCTCTCTGTCTCTCTCCTCTCTCTCTCTCTCTCTCTCTTTCTCTCTCTCTCTCTCTCTCTCTCTCTCTCTCTCTCTGATCCTCGGTCGCCGGGCTCATGCGGAGCCGGAAGCCATCGGTGCAGTTTGCCGGGAAGATGAAGCCATCCGGGCCTGACAGCACCTGATCCAGCATGGGTACAAGGGGAAGAAAATAGCATCCTTCTCGAAGCTGGACAAAACATGGACAACCTTTCTCATGGCAAAGCCACTAGAAGTCTGCGGCAAAAAATCATCAACACGGAACTCCTCATGGGTTCCATGTGCGTTCCGTGTTTCATACCCCCCCCCCAGACGCTCGCAGCTCGCCCACGTTTTGCCCCGGCGACCCTTTCCACCGTCAGCAGTTGGTACGGCGCATCTGCGTCGATGAGCTGCGCCACCGGCAGCGTCTTGTGGACCGCGCGGCCCAGCGCTGCGCCGAGGCCGCGCCGCCGCTGCTGCGGCACGAGGATGCGCTGGCGGCACAAATGTTCCCGGGCCAAAGCGGTGGACTCCTCAAGGGGGGCGGCCAGGAATCCGCAGGTTGGAAAGTCGAACCCCTGGTTCCGTTCCTTGGTTGGGTGCCCATGGGAATGAGCAGTTTGGCTGAAAGTCGGTGGAATAATTGGTGCCCGTTTTTTCCTGGCATGGGTGTTTGGAATGGTCAGTCCGAGGATTTCACTCAATTAAATCCCGTCCGCGAGAATCAAAAGGCACGAGAAAAGAACACACCTCAAAAGCGTTTGGTGCCCTTTGATGAGGTGGGTTACAACCCCTCAAGGTTAGTATTGTTGAACATCGATGGGTGCCGCTAGAATTGGGTTTGGTTTCAATCATTTTACCGCGCCCACACCTAGGCCTGGGACGGCCTGCGCGCTAGTTGGAAAAACATGTGGTGAGGTACACACTCAATTTGAACCACCCTGCAGTTGACAACGTGCAACCATTGGGCCCAAACAGCTGACGCGAAGCGTCCGTACAGGGCGTGGCCTCAAGGGCTAGCAGCAAGAGGTTTGGAAACCAACCCAAGTGCACTGCACCTTCAAAACACTTTTTGGTTTGCCAGAAAGCTAAACTGGCCAGGCTTCTCAGCAGTGGAAAGGAAAGCAGGACAAGTGGCAGTGGCCAAAAACAAGTTGCTGGGCCAGGGGCAAGCACTTGGTTGCGAAGGATTCACAAAACTGAGGGCTCCCATCTTTGACCACCACCCCTGTGGACCTCCACTAGCTAGCAACCACTTCCCCCCGCCCTGGGAATTTGCCCAGAACCCACACATCCAAGTTTGGATTCCGGCCCATGTTCAATGACTCTTACCACCGCTATTACCTGAAATTCTGAACCAACTCATTTCAGCGAACTCCACCGCTGCGCATTCCCAAGGCCACGTCTCCGCGCCGGTTGTCGCTGGACCCCCCCGCCTCCAGCGGCTCCACCGTGACAGCCCAGGCCGGGAACTCCTGGGCCACGAGCGCCACGAAGGCCTCCAGCCCCGAGGGCCCCGAGGCGAGCCCCGCGCCGCGGCGGCCGGGGTCCACGCAGTGGAAACGGCCCCCCACGGCCAGCAAGGCCCCCAGCAGCGCGACCAAGGGCCGCAAAGACGTGGAGCTGTACCTCACATCGCAAGGCATTTGGTGTCGTGCAAGGCCTTTTGTGGCTTTTTTTCACGAAAGCAAGGGGCTCCTGGTTATTGTGCATATTGGAAGGCAATGTGTGGCGCTTTTCACCGAACGGAGCTCCTGGTCCTTATTTTGCGGGGAGACAATGACTGCCCCAACCCAAGGGAGCACACTTCAAGTTGAGGTTTAAACCAACGAGAAAGGTGAAGTTCAGGGACCCGCTGGCTCTCTTGGCGTGCAATGTGAGCCTTCGGACGTAGGTATGCGGTTGGTGCTGGCCACATCACGTTACCATTGTCAAAGCCGCCCTGCCGCCCTCAAGGCACATCCTCCAAGGAACACCGAAATTGAATTGATCAACATGGGAGCCTTAGTGATGGATTGCGTCAACTCTTGATTGGCCCGTGGTTCTTGGCAGCTTTCTATCTCAATGATTTGGCATGCTGGCAGACCAGCTCATCCAAGACCACAAATCCAACGGGCAAATGCGGAGCCTCACTCCTAAGCAACGGCCGAAACAACGAAACTGGCATGAAGCATCCGGCACTGATTATCTGGCCTCCATTCAGGCAGCTCATGCTGTGGATGGACGAAATCCGTTCGCACCACTTCTAGACCATGGTTGAAACCATTGTTGGTTGGTATTGACGTTGGAGAATCGCATCATTGCAGGGTTTCTTAGGTGGTGCAGGGTTCCGTCCATACACATCTGCCGGGGTGCAAGTTCCTATTGCGAGCCGCGGTCGTGGTTGCGTTGCTCTGAATCCATCCACGATCCCAAGCCCAAGAGGTCAAATCCCGGCTGCGGCTCTCGGGCCAAGGCACAGGATGTCTGCGCCAATGATGATTTCGAAGACGCCCAGGGCCTGCAGACCTTACGGGGAAACAAAAATCAGTTGGATGCTCCCCTGCAAACTATCATGCAACTCGAAAAGCGGTTTCCCCAAACAGAAATCCCTCGTAAAATGACGGTGGGTTTCAGTTCCGGAAAGTCTGCTCACTAGCCTCAGGTGCCCCAGATCCCCAAGGTGCTGAACTGCAACTGCCGACCTCTGAGGGGGAGTTGGGCATTCGTTCACATGGCGTCCACCCGAAGACCTCTGCAGCCTGTCCAGAATCCCGGAGGCGTTTCCTTACTTGTGCCTATCCAAGGCAGCAGGCATCGGGCAACTGCGCTATTGCTGAAGCGTGAGTTGTTCATACATCAAGCAGCCCTCAAACTAATAGCACATCAAGCAACCGTTGAACGCGTTTGCAATACTGCCATGAACAAAGCCCTTGCAATCAACTCCAACCAGTTCTGAAGCGAAAGCCCTTCAAGCAGCGCCGAACAAAAGGGCACACATCGTCAATTGTATCGATCCTCACCGCGACTCATCTATTTTCTGAAAAGCAAATTGCCACTCGCTTCATCAACACCTCCGAGGGAAGAACCAGGCAACGACGTCGCCTGGCGCTTTTCGGCATGTCGACTGTTCCCGCCTGCGGGCTGACTCCAATCCAGGGTGACGCACTTCACCTGCTCCAAGTGGAGGTTCAGCTGCAGGTTCCGCTGCAGCGAGAACACTACTCCAGGCTTGTCGGAGAGAACCACCTGAGTTGACTCGGAACCCTGGCTGCCTTGGAGTGGGCTTTGACACTTCCAGTTTGCTGGCGCGACGCCAGAAGAACTCGTGACACCAAGCATCCTCAATGGTTGCTCCTTTGACATGCTGCCTGTGCCCGTGCTTCACCTACTGCAATCCAGCTTAACTTAGACAAATTCAGACATGCTTCTTGTCTGGTTCCTCTCAACCTGTGTCTCATCGATTCTCTCGCTCGGCACGCTGACAACAAACCTACAAAGATTGGCCATTGGCGTGCTTTCTCATGAAGGCTCTAGGCTGGCTTTGTTGGCAGCTCTTGCGGCAGCGACCCTTTTGCTTTGCGAGCCTTGCCCTTTTCAAGCCTCGAGCGCCACCATGTAATTATTCGGATTAGCCTGACACATCTTCACATCTTCCCTCAATCCAAAATGCCTGTAAATCCACTACAACATGATACATCCTACATGATCCCTGGCAACCATCTCATTGCCTCACTTCCCGAGCTGGTCCCACAATTTCTCCGAACCTTTTCAGTGACCCTGGAAAAAAGTGAACCCTTTTTGGGGAAGACCCTTTTTAGTGGGGCCACCCAACAAAAAGGGCGGAAAAAGAATTGGTGCCACTGAACAACTGAGTTCCAAGTCTCAAGTGCTCGGGCTCAAGCGCCCGTCGCCTCGTGGAAGTTCAGCATGGCGCAGGCCAGGCCGGCGGTGCCCAGGCCGCTGCCCAGCTCCAAGACACGACGTCGAGGCGTGGAGCCAGCGGCGAGCCAAAAGGCGAGGACCTCAGCCCGGTGCTCCTCGTGGAAAGGGAGGGCTGAGGTTTCTTGGGCCTCACCGGAAGCCCGGCAGAAGCCGGGAAAACGGGAGGGTGGCGTTTTTGGGGGCTGGTTGATTGCAAGAGGTGGGCTTGAATGTGGAAAGTTGATGGGGCTGGGACAGGCCGAAGATCCAGCCACAATAAGGGCTGGGGGACCACCTTTCTTACAGCTTGGAAGGGCACGCCTGTGTCCGGTGATTTTACAAGAACTCACGTGGCAACTGTCAATTAACACAAACCCAAGCCAAAGCTTAGGTCAGCCGTGCGTTGTTGGATCGCCCCTTCTGGGCGTCCCCTTGAAATCGATGGATACCGCAAAGATAGGGATCAAACTGAAACCACTGAAGTCAGCGGATTCCACTGAACTGATCCCAAAATATACCCGCCGTCACCTTTCTGGGCCTCCAAGCCAGCCCGGATCCCCAGAGCAGTTGGCCCTGCTCCAGCCTCTTGCGTTTCCTGGGCACATGGCAACCTGCTTGCTTCTCTGGTTTCGGTGGCCCAGCGAGGAGTTTGGACAAATAGTGCGAACCCAACCACCGAACAACACGGGAACAGTCCCCCCCAAAGATTCCCAGTTTCCGGCTGCCATTGCGGTCCAGGGACGCGGCAAGCTGTTGGCGCTAACCCACCCACTGCAAACACAAAACTATCTGCTCCGAGAACCTGGCTCCCGTTCCGGGATATAATCTGGCCCCACTCCCCCCCCCCCCCCCAAGCCCTGCCACTGCCTCCAGGCAAGCTCAAATCGTGATATTGGTCGCAGCCCGCACTAAGCAAACTCAAGACAGGTCTGGAAATCTGGACTTCTCTACATCACACACCTCAAGCCAGGCATCCTTACCCAACGGGGAGCATCCTGACCAAAGGGAGCAAACCATGAGCCGAAACTGAGGCTTCAACTGCTCCCTTACCCGGAGTAATCATCTGGCCACAGCTTACTGTACTCGGTTGCTTTCTGCTCCCCCGCTAAAAGTTTAACTTTTAGTGGTTTGATGGAAAACCCATTGGTTGGCAAAAAGTTAAAGTCCAACCATCCAAGCAAAATGCACCAAAGTGTAAATGGCTTCAAGTGCTTCGCATGTTTAAGCTGCCACTGCCGCGCTCGTTCCGAAAACCGCAAATTACGCCGTTGAACTGCCACTTGCCAACCATGTTCTTGCGCCAAGGTGAAGCTCATAGTCGTGCCCGTCGATGGATGTGCAAAAGAACGCGAAAAGGAACACGGACCGAATCACCTTACGGGGCTTTACAGACTCTTGTTCAAAAACCACATTGTGCCGCACCGTGAGCACATCCAGTGCAGGCAAGCCCTGGTAAGTGTCACCACCCAGCCTCCCCCCAACAAAAAGAAAAGCCTGCAGAAACACTTGGTCCGGTGGGTGACGGAACGCTCTCGATACAAAATTGGGCAAACATATACAATGTCCTGTCAGTCTTTCTGTGTCACCACCGTGTTGCCTGCTTCCCCTACACCAAGCATACAAAGTGGATGCCACAATTCCCTTTGTGCCGGTAGCTAAGAGGAATAAAAGCAAACGTGGGGGAATCGGGCCATCTTTCGATTCATCGCATTCGCGGGGAGTTTTTCCTGAAAGCGACTGCTCGCTTTTGCTCGTGTCCTGTCGCCTGTGTGGCCTTCCTGCACCAGCTGCAGCAGGCAAGGAGGATCTATACCTGGGAGGGCGTGGCTCATTTGGCTCAACAGGGGGGGGACGCCCACCCCCAGGTGAAGGAAAGCATGATCAAGCTCCTTGCCCAGAATCCAAAAAAAAAATCAGCTGCACCCCACCCTGAAGCAAACAACTTCTGGTCCTTGCAAAAAAAGGCCCTGACCATAGCCGAGTTGTTCAGGGACGCCTTTTGGGGGTTGATTTCTCCTTGAGCCAAACAAACATTGGAGCCCACATGCCAAGCAGCCCGGCAGCCGCAGCTCCAAGTGCTCGCTGCACTCGCTCGCATCTGGAGGCTTCACCCTTAGCTCCTTCGGCCCAATTGGCTGAATCCAACCACTTGGAACTAGGGAAGCCACCAAGGGCACTACCCAAAAAGCTTTGAACTCAGTTCTCAAGGTTCTGAAACCTTTTCTCAGGGGGTGATCCTAATGTTTCTCTTGAGGAAATGAAATTTTCGGACCCTACCACTATGCGATGGGTCTCTTGCTACTTTCCCGTTAGAACCCCTATCATGTTGGCTCAACCTGCTTTTGAAAATAGGAAAGTCACCCAATCATTTTGGGAGTCGCATGATAGATCAATCTGCTTTTGAACATAGGCAACTCACCCAATCATTTTGGAACCATAGACTATTGCGTCTATTTCGAAGGCCGGGAAGTTCGCACCAAGTCGGATATCTCGCAACTGGGCCTTTCCCGTCCTCCGCCTCCGCCGGCACGAAGCGCACGAGGCTTCGGCCGCACTTCTCGAGCTCAGCCAGCAGCTCCCGCTGCGAGCTGCGCGCCATGCGTCGGAACTACGTGGCTGTGAGTCAAACATAGGGCAATCCCAAAATGGGTTGCCCTGGCAAATGGCATCATGGACTAAAATCTGCGGTTTTCTGGTGGTTTAATTTTGACCCATACCCACATGGGGATGTGTTGCAACGAAGCGCAGTGGTGATTGGTGCAGCAGTCCTTTGCCACCCCAGGCACGCGGCAAAGCTAGGCAACCCACTGCAATCCTCAGCTACATCTTTGAAGATGTAAAGCAAGCACTTCATGTACATATTCATATTCTCCAAGATTTGTGGTGGAACCCTTTGCCACAGCAACTTTTCACTGCCCTTAACCAGCCGCCTTGCCGGTCCATCGAAACCGGCTCGCAGTTCTTTCTGAGCCATTGGGACTGCCGGAGCAGCTCGGAGCATCGCTATGACTCACGGGCACACCGCAAGCCAATACGGCGAACCAATGCGAAAAGGGCCTTCCTTTCTGGAGAGGAAGCCCGCCCACTTTCTGGTTCTTGTTTGCTTGTCCGTCATGCTCCATTAAAGTATTGAAGTGGCATCCTCACAATTATCATCATTTAAAGGGAACCCTTACCCGCCTCCCTTCCAAAAAAACAAGAGACCCCCTCAACACGCTCACTTTTAGGAACCCAGTAATGCAACCCCAGAACGCGAAAGGAGGGAGGCACCAGCTCATTGCCCACATCCGCTTGGTTCAGGATCGTGGACTGCACGAACACCTTAGCCATTCTTCGGGGGTTGAGGTGGGGCATGTGCGGTGGAAAATCAGAGGCGAGTTTTGGTTTTGGGGACCCCTGAATGTTTTTTCCTTGTCACACTTTACTGACGCGCACCCAAAGGAGCTCACCATTTTACCATTTTGAGACACGCCCATGCCGCTGGGGGTGGGAGCGGCCTGATCCCGAAGGTCTCATGGGAGGCCATATCAAGTTGCTCTCTTGGATCACGGCTTGGGGACAACGCTCGCATGGAAGCTGAGTCGCGAATCATGCCCCAAATATCCTTGAATGGACGGCATTGTCCCTCGTTCTGACCAAAAGTACGCAGCATTGGCTTCAAAAACCACGCATACCTTTTGTAGACTTCTGGTTCTTTGGTTCTGCTCAGTCGTGAGCGAGAGCACACCATACACATCCATGCACCTTTCCCATTTTTTGTTTGTGACATGAGAATCGGGGCTCATGTAACAGCTGGCAAGCTAAGCCCAAGCGATCAAACAAGCCAAGCCGCCCCACAGCAGGTGCCAAGTTCTCAAAGTCATAATTCAGACCTAGTCTTAGAGGAGTCTACCTGAAAAGCGTGCAACAACTAAGCAGGGCGGATATCTGCACCTATTTAGGTTTGGCCAGCCTTCATGACCATCCCATTTCACCATGGGCTGAACTATCCTTCAGTCTGACCAATGTTGTGGACCCACTTCTTGGGCACAAGCGGTCCGTGCAAGACTTCGGTACCGCGCTGCTGGCAGGCTAGCACTCGCATCTGCCAGTCTCAGGGTGCTGCCACCCGAAGAGGGTTTACCTGCCCAAAGTACGGGAAGGTCGCCTGGATGTCAACCTGCCAAGGGCGCACACACGCCTGAGCTACTGAAACAATCGCTGGAACAGGAGGTAGGCCGTACCAATTCTTGGCGTGCCCAACTGAGCTGGCAATGTGAGCTTGGCAACTTAAGGAGTGGTGGCCCTTATGCCCCCTGCACAGCATGATCAGCCTCTTTACTAGCCTGGCTGACTGATGCAGCCCCAGAAAAGGCATCAAACCGAGGGCGGTTTAAAGCTTGGGCTGAGATGGATCCTGCAAATGAAACGCGGATTTGTCGGGCACATGTTTAAGTGCATGATCATCTGATATGAAGCCGCCAATGGATTCAGAGATCTTTCGCAGTCAGCTGCAGCTGTCCGTCCCTGCGCCGCTTGAACGTACTTGCGAGTCAATAGGGCAACTCGACAGTTATGAGTCTCACATAAGGGCCCAGCCGTACTTTCCAACACTGCCCCACTTTTGGCAGAGTAATATTTACCCCTCTTGGCTTTGTCTCTTCTCGGGGATGCCTAGCTTTGGAACACCTGGCCGGAGCGAGCCCCTGCCTCCAGGCGCCCGGTGATGTCAAAGCTAGACACAAAGTCGCGCATGTCTAAAGTCTTGGCCAGGGGACCTGAGGCGCAATGCCATCGATGCTTTTCAGCCTCAAGATCATCTGCTCAACCCCACGGGGAGAAGGTGGCACCCAAGTTCTGATCAGGCCGATGAATTGACGCAACTGGATGTGGACTGCAACTGGATTCAGTGAAGTGCCCTTGCCCATTTCCGCTCACGCTCCCTGTGCTGAGGGCAGTGGCTGATCAAGCGACTCACTGGCCCCAAACAAATGTCCACTTGTTGCCCGCCAAATACCCCCCCCCCCCCAAGGGCTCATGCACTCGCCCAGCGCGAAGGGGCACCCCCCAATGTATATCCTTCACCCATTGCCACTTTCTATGGTGTTCAAGGGCGTATGTGGCACATATGTGTATGTGTGTAACTTGTTTCGTTTGCTTGAAACATGAACATACATTTACTTGTACATATGTAAGCAAAAACAAATGAACTATATCTATATTTATCTCCATGTGGATATCTATGTAGTTATATATATATATATGTAAGAAGAGGGCCTCCTACCCCAGCGGCAAGCGCTTCAAACAAGAAAGCCGTCCAAAGCCCGATTCGAGTGGAGGTCTGGGGCTGCGGCTGATAATGCGGAAGTTCCAGTAGTTCATCTGCGGCGTGAACTCTGGGTTGGACCTGGCTACAGCACGGCCACAGCAAGTGGTGCCTTTAAATGAAAACCGGAACCCATCCCCTGTCATGGGATGGGGTGGGGTGGGTGATTGGGGTGATTGGGTTGGTTGAGTAGGCCCGACAAACAACATCAAGCCTAGAAAAACGAATTACGCCATGGGCAGTCTTGGGAGCGCGACATCCCTGGCTGGCGGTCGAACATTGGCTTTCGTCTTCCTTTCCCTAAGCCCCGCACACATAGACGAACAGCTTGAAGGGCGAGTTCGGCTGCTTGGGGTCGGAGGTGTCCATAGTGAACTCTGCGATGTTGGGCTCTCTGACCTGAGCTGTGCTACCAGAGCGAGACTACGAGGTCAGAGGGGCCACGTGCTACAGAACTCCCAGACCGGAGCTGGTTTTCTGCCACCCTGAGCCAATCAAACCACCAACTCAGCATGAACGACTGAAGACTGCTTATGCACTCAACGGGTCTGATGATGCGGGCACAACTTAAAACACGCAGGCACCAACCCACCAACCCACCAACACATCAATCCACAGTGATTTCAGTGATTTCCCTCCAGTACTCGACTGTGCCCGAGGGCTTGGCAAGGGCTACTGTCGATTCCAAATGTGATGCAGGTAGATGCTACAGGGGTTCCGATATTTATCATGTCACAATGTGACAATGTGTCATGGGTTTACCGTTGACCCCAGATCTAGCCTGGTCTTCAAGAACTGCCAAGGAATCCTCCTGAGCTCGCAGCATAACAAGTGGTGGTGTTGGCCAGGCCCTCATCGGTACTGAAGAAGGCGCAGGTGAAGATGAAACCTCAGGATCTCGAAATCCACTGGCCCTGGCAGGTACTTCAACACCAAACTTAGTCACGACTATCTATGAGACCTAGACCATTCTAATGCCGGGTTTTGACCATGACTCAACTGAGCAAAACACTCCGTGACCGTTTGTTTTGAATCAAGGGCGGTGGCATGACGGCAATCTAAGGGGCCAAATGATGACCCATGGGTGTCTGTGTGGTGCGTCAGAATGGGAACCCCCCCAAAATGGCGGTTGCCCTTGTTCAGGTCTTGGTTTCTGCACGGCAGGTTGGTTCATCATGCACGGCACTGAGCCACAATCAGCACCCAAGTGGATGAAGGTTAGTAAGAGACAATCCCATGCAATGCAAGTAAAGTAGCCAAAGCACGTGGGAAACATGCTGATGAGCATAATTGCAACTCAAAACAGATGCACCTTTGCCCCGAAAAAAGTGCAGCCTTCTTACCTAGCTTCTTTGCTGAATCTCTAGTTGATGGATGGGCACCACATGTTGCCAAAGAGGGCTTGACACTCTGGGCGGGCATCTTCTAAACCAACCCTGCAGCACACGCAGAAGACAAGGCATGGGTGCAGACATGCGTCCGTTGGGGGCGGTGATCTCAATTTTGGAACCTCCAGGAATGTACTTGTCGCTCATGATGTAAAACCTCAGCCAGCCAGCGCTGCGCTAACATCCAATGTGTTCAACGCGCAACTCTCCGGGCAAGAGGTCCTGGACCCGACAAAGCACTCACGTACTGCAGTGGCGGCCTTTGGGCCCAAAAGCTTGGCACCAACTTGGGGACTTGGGGACCTCCTTGTTGCTTCTGCCGAAGGTTCCAGAAAGCTGGAGTTGAACAGCGTCAGGGAAAGCGAGTGATTGGAACCGGGGATGCGGCAAGGGAGGCCAAACGGAAGCAACCCTGCCAGAAATCCGACACTTTTGGGACTGCTGAGGCTGAAGCTCCAAGCGATGCAGGGGCAGAAGCGTCGTGGTGTCAGATGGGGTGACCCGCACTTCCTGGGAGCAGAGGGGCCGGTTTCCAACTTTCGGCAGAGGCGCCAACCACAAGCGCTTCAACACCTGCAGTTGAGATTGCACACATTTATGCATGCAAATGGGGATGCACATGTTTGAGACATGAATCTCAGTTGCGCAATGGATCCATGCATACAAGGTTAGCCTTTTGAGACCTTGGCTAAAAACGAAGCAGCACAGAACATCCCCAAGGTCAGATCCGATCGATCCGCCTTGGGCAACTGAGGAACGTTGTTGACAGTGCTGCCGAGTGCTACCAGACTGCCAGGCGTGTCCAGGCAAAAGCTCTGTCTAGAGGTGGGTGCAAACATGAAATGGCTTAGCAGAATCCAAGCATGGCTTCCGCAGTCTCTGAGACTTCTTTCTCAAAAAGGCGCAGCGCAAGAGCTAAGCAAGAAGGATTTTCTCATAGGCGGGTAGGTTCAAAGGAGATTCCTAAGCGATGGATTTGTTTGGATTCCATTTTGTTGTTGTGAAAGTAACGCAGACGGATTTTCCCGCCTTGATCTGCTCCAGCTCGAAGCCCACGACGCTGCGCCTCAGAGCGGAGCCGGCGGAAAGCGTGAGGCCGTGCGAGGCTCACGCTGAGTGCAGCGCCGTAAGTGCAGAATGACGCCGTTCTGGAGGGTCTCGAACCGCCACACCTCAAGCAGGGGGGTCTTCTTGCCACCTTTTGTGAGAAAATTGGCGACCCCTCAAACAGGAATACTACAAGGGGGTCGATCATTGTTCCACCAAAGGTGGCAAAAAAGACCCCCTTGACCTCAAGTGAGCGCAACTTTGGATTCAACATGAAGATCTCTACTCCGGGGTGTGGGTTCTTTCAGTGGGTAGGGAATTTCTCTCATTGGTGTGGTCGGCCGGAGGAATCAGGCGCAACAGCTCCGAAAGAGCTCTCTGCCAATGCAGTTGTGGCAGAAATCCTGAGAACCTGGCATTGTCTGCAGAGGCGGGGGTGGTGAAAGGATTCGTCAGAGCAAACTCGAAGGCATAGTCCAAGCCATACGACACTTCCTGCTCAATGGTCAGCTCGACATAATACCTTGCAGTGTGCCGCAATCAAGTCTATCAAGTCTACCCCGAATTCTCCAACTTCGCGGAGGGTGTTGCCCCCCAGTGAAAATTGGAATCCGCCCATTTCAAAAGAGACACCGTCAGTCTGTTCCATCCTGGTTCACGCTGCCACCCCGAAGGCGGCAGAACAGAATCTGAGCCCCGCGCTGCCCGCTGACGTCGTCGTAGAAGTCGTAGCAGTAACTTCCCGATGGCATAGACATGTACGCGATCTTGGCACTTGATCAGGCCCGGTAAACATGGGATGACCATTGGGGAGAACCGAAAAGATCGAAAGATGATATGCCTACAGTATATGCCCCACTAAATGGGAAAAGCTACCGATGGCAATGTGAAAAGTTCCCCGCCCCCCAGTGCCCTGCCCCCTCCAAACAAAAAGGGGAGGTTTCAGGGGTCACCCTCTCCCCAAAGCCAATTTCTATTTTCTTGCTGCTTTCTGGCTTGAATCTCTGCACCTCACTGAGCTTTCCGCGGTGGTGGGGAAGGGGTTCTTGACAAGTTCTCGGCCCACGTCGTAGGAAAGCGAGAAGAGGTTCAGGGATGTGCCGCAGTCCTGTTCGCTTGCTGGGTTCCACTTTGGTCTTTGCCTTCCTCTGACAATCGTTTCAGCTTGGTGGCTGGTGCCAGCCTTAGCAAACTCTATCAAACCGCATTGAATCATTGCGTGGCTTACTTATCATTTCCACCCTTGCGTTTTTGCCCTCGCAAGGCTTGCTAGCGTCAGAGGTCCGGCAGTGGCTGAAAGGTCGGGGGCAGCCAAAGCCTCATCTGGCTCGTCCTCAGTAGCACAATATGCAGGGCAAGTCTTGACGGACATCCGGCCATCCGGAATGCTTTATGGGGCGTGTTTGAGCTCAGCGCCACTCTAGTCACAAAAGGCTCTCCCTTGATTCAAATGAACTGCGGACCGTGTCAAATTCTTCAAGGCTGTTGGTTGCCCCAAGGCTCACAAGGAACATGTGCGACCGACACGCCAACGAATGCTTCCTGTTGCCGTCAGACATCCTTCCCAATACAACTTCAACCCTGCAAAAAGTTTTGCCAAGCAGCCAAACCAGCCAACCAACCAAAGCAACCAATCCCCCAATGAAGCAAAGCAACCAACTGAGCAACCAGTCTCAACAAGCTCAATCCACGAACATCTTCTTGGGACCCGACTGGCCCGTCTCCAGGCTCGCCTTCAATGGGCTCTTCAGGTTGAACCAAATACCGACCTCGCTCGCAGGAACCCGAAACCCCTTGGAACCCCAACGCGAGCCACCTATTCCCAAGCCGATCGCCAATTTTTCACAGGCGAACAATATGCCTACACAATCTCCGTAGTCAAAAGGAAGCGGGTGGAACACTCAGGGCTGGTACGCAGCTGCAAAACCGTCTGCGCCCTAGAGTCTTCAGAAACAAAAGGTGGCAAGGACACAGTGGAAGGGAGAAAAGCTGGGCGTCACACCTGACACACAGGAATAGGGATGTCGAGGGGCTTCCTTACTTCCTTCCATTTGCTTTATGCTGACCTAGCTGACGGTAAAGGATCAAACATCTACCAACCATGACCGTTTCCCTTTTGAACTGACCGGCAGGCAAACAAATCACATTCAAGAAACAGAAGCTTTGTCGACAAGGCATCTGCGACCAACCTGGGCAGCTGACCACGTTTTGAGCCAAGGGGGAAAGCACGGTGCCGGTGACGTAGGCCCCCGAAAACTCGCCGAAGATCTTGAACCCGGTGACGTTGAGGTTGACATTGAGCCTCAGACGTGTCAAAACTAGGGACTTTGTTATACTTGGTTCCTGGTGTTGGCACCCCACTTTTCAAATGCCGTGCCAACACCTCAAAGAAGAAGGTGTCCTCCTACTGAGGATCCCTTTGTGTTGGGCTCGGGGTTCTCGCAAATTCTCATGCCGAAAGGCATCCTACAAACCGACCCTAACAGCAAGAGGCCGCCGTCCCATGTTTGCAAACCAAACGTGAACACCCTTTCGACGACTAAGCGGCGGGCGGGGGTCCTTCCCTTCCCGGCACAAAGCACGCTTCGCGCTCCCCAAGTGTGCTCTTGTGAGTTGGCACATCACACAACTGTAAGATCTTGGTTTGAGAGATTGGCATCCTGAATGTCGCGGCAATCGATCTTTGGTGCCCGAGCAAAGGGGAACAAAGCCAAGGGAGACCAATAAAAGGATCAATGAACCATTCAGAAAACTATTCAAGAGGATGCGTACTCTCGTCAAACCTCCTTATACAGGCGATAACTATTGCCCTGTTCAAAGAGATCTTTGTGTCGGTTGTTTATAGGCAACCTTTCACTCACAAAGAAGATGGGAGGGGATCCGGATCAGGACAATCCCGTTGTCCTCGAAGGACCCCTTACGCAAAAGGCATAAGAAATGCTTGACCATCCTGACCCGAAAGCACGAAGACCACCCACAATGGCCGAGCCTCTTTGTTTGACAGCCAGAACTTGATTGGTGCGACCCGTCGCAAGCCCCTGCTATTCCCAAAGAACAGGATTGCAGTCCTAACGGTGCGTGCAGAAAGGAACATATCCCCAAACAAATGTTGCCGTGGGACTGAACACCTGCCAAAGCCACAAGACCGTGCGCCCATCCGTGTCATTTGCCCATTCTTCAGCACATCAAGACCTTCCCACTAACATGGCCGCAAGGGGCAGCCCTTGGCCGGCCTCTGGAAAGGCATATGTTCCCGCCACATGTGAAAATCAGAGCTATGGATGGACCAAAATCCCCGCAGTTCGCCAGTGAGTTCCGTGGTTGACCCCATTCGAAATCGACCTTCATCCAAACTAGGTCCTCCAGTAGAGAGGTTAGAATAAGGGTACCATTTTTTGGGTAGTCTATTTTCGTAGGGAAACCCTCCCCCAAAAAAGGGTACAAGGGAACTGGGGGACCTAGCAAATCGGTGCATCGGTGCCGTTCACCCCAGGCCGAGGCACAGCTCTTCCTGGCCGGAGGAGAGGCTCATCGCCTCGAAGGTCCACACCTGACATTGAACTTGGTTGCTGCAACGACCCCCCTGCGAAAAGTTTAACTTCTTGGGGGTTTAGTAGAAAACGCTTTTATTTCCCAAAAAGTTAAGGTCTAAAGATCCAACCCAATAGCAATCAAGTGAGACGCAGACGCATTTCAGGCCCGAAACTCAAGAACATCCGCTTGGGCTTGTGGCTTTTTTTCGCCCGGAAAATCGCCCAGAGGACACACAAACACACACACACACACACACACACACACACACACACACACACACACACACACACACACACACACACACACACACACACACACACACACACACACACACACACACACACACACACACACACACACACACACACACACACACACACACACACACACACACACACACACACACACACACACACACACACACACACACACACACACACACACACACACACACACACACACACACACACACACACACACACACACACACACACACACACACACACACACACACACACACACACACACACACACACACACACACACACACACACACACACACACACACACACACACACACACACACACACACACACACACACACACACACACACACACACACACACACACACACACACACACACACACTCACGACGCACGCACGCACGCACGCACGCACGCACGCACGCACGCACGCACGCACGCACGCACGCACGCACGCACGCACGCACGCACGCACGCACGCACGCACGCACGCACGCACGCACGCACGCACGCACGCACGCACGCACGCACGCACGCACGCACGCACGCACGCACGCACGCACGCACGCACGCACGCACGCACGCACGCACGCACGCACGCACGCACGCACGCACGCACGCACGCACGCACGCACGCACGCACGCACGCACGCACGCACGCACGCACTCACGCACGCACGCACCCACACACACACACACACACACACACACACACACACACACACACACACACACACACACACACACACACACACACACACACACACACACACACACACAAACACCCACACACCCACACACACACACACACACACACACACACACACACACACACACACACACACACACACACACACACACACACACACACACACACACACACACACACACACACACACACACACACAACCACACACACACACAACAACACACACACCACACAACAACACACACACACCACACAACAACACACACACACCACACAACAACACACACACACACCACACAACAACACACACACCACACAACAACACACACACACCACACAACAACACACACACACCACACAACAACACACACACACACACAGACACACACACACACACACACACACACACACACACACACACACACACACACACACACACACACACACACACACACACACACACACACACACACACACACACACACACACACACACACACACACACACACACACACACACACACTCACACCCACACGCACACGCACACGCACACGCACACGCACACGCACACGCACACGCACA